GGGGTGGGGTGAGTTGTGGGGGGGTGTGTGGAATAGATCATCTCCGTCTGTGTGCTGGGATGCTGTATCCCATCCAGTCCGGGTCAGCCCAACTGGCAGGATGAAGCAATCCGCCTCCTCACTGATCAAAACTATGTTGAGAGGGGCGTGAAATGTGTACAATTGTCAAAAAAAAGGTTACAAAGAATAGAAGAAATGAATGGATTATTAATGTGAGCAGCACTTGGTACTCACTTTTCTTAAATAACTGCGGGTCCTCCCTTGAGCAAGGTTCCTCATATATTTGGTTTTTGTCTGGAATTGCTCGTTGAGACCTTGAAAAAACAAAAAAAGAAGAAACAAAAATAAGGAAACAGAACAAGTGAGATCTTCAGGGGGAAAAAAGAAAAAGAAGGAAACCGGACAGGTCAGACCTTGAAAAACAAAAAAATGGAAACAGTGTGGGTCAGCAAACAAGCCCACTCACATGTCAGCGGTGATATTTTCTGAACCCGTGACCGGATAACATGTGAGGCAGCGCGGTGGAATCACGCTCTCGTCAAAATAATCAAAGTCAAGAAACTTGCATTTTTCCGCAGGTTTGTGAATTTTTATCAAAATTTTGTTTTTTGGCTCAACACCTTTCATGCCCATAAAAGAACTCATTTATGTGTTGATTTAAAAAAACCCCGTTGATTAAAGGCGCAAAAAATGTAAATTTTCAGTTACCACGGACTCTTAAGCTAAGGAAATAACTAATCTTTGGCGGCCATTTTCTCACTAATTTTACCTCTGAAAACAAGTGACCCCCACCTCCTTCTTTCGCAAATATCTCGACTTGTATTCAAGATAAATGGATATTTTTTTCCGTCCAAATAAAGACAAGTGAACAAGCTTTAAAATGATACCAATAACTCTACATGCCCCAAAATTGACGAGAGTCTGATTCCACCACGTCTTTCCAAAACCATTGCCGAGGTCCATCTGTGTGGTCCTTTATAAAAACCAGGAGTCACATTTACAATCATTGTAAAGTGCCCGATTTAAAACAGGCATCAGCAATCACGGTTCTCCATTCATTTCTCTACTCGGATGCTCACAAAAAAACTATGTATTGTCCTGGTCTTTCTTTGTCACCAATCTGTTCAAGTTTTCCAAAAATACGTTTTTCTGGGTCTACTCCTGCCTCGTTTGCCTTCTATTTTTCCAGTGAAAGCAAGATAGCTATCTTAGAATTACAAGGTTCTATCTAACACTTTTGGTCATTTCGAGTTACAAAGACCATGAGGTCAGAAACCAAATGTTCTATATTATATATCTTTATCTAAATCGTAAGATTATTCAGAGTCGTTATCAAGATATTCAAAGACTTGCATTCGAAAAAGCCTGACATGTGAAACTCAAGATTTTTCACGTCAAATTTCTCAAAACTAGGTACTGAGCAAAGGGAACTTTGTAATTCTAGGGTAGCGCGAAGTTTACTCCTTAGTTGTTCTTCTCTCTCTCTTCCCCCCCCCCCCTAGTTCTTCTCAGTTTGCAGAACATGTGGCTTCTTTCAGTATTTCCTTATTTGATTTCTTTTCCCCTGGTTTTATTCAGTTGCGCACACTGTAGACAACTAGGTGGTCCTAACAATGATCAGAGTAGGCTTCCGCCACCACACAAGCAAAATTCAAAATTGATTTCTACCAAAACTGAAAGTACCTTTGAGATCAGAATGTGGCTACCTGAAGGCAAGGGGTCCTACGAAATAGAATAAAAACCCGATCACATTCGTAAAATTGTTGCACTGCAGACTGAAGAACCAGTCACTACCTCAGAATTACAAAGTTCTATCTGAAAATTTTGGTCGTTTTGTGTTACCAAGACCATGAGGTCAGTCGTTGTCAAGATATTCAAGGAATTGCATTCGAAAAAGCTCGACATGTGAAACTTCAAATTTTTTTACATCAAATTTCTTAAAACTAGATACTGAGCAGATAGAACTTTGTAGTTCTGAGGTAGTGAGTTGACGACCCCGTGAGACCCAGCAGGAGAACACAAAAAGAAGAAGATTGATTTCCAAAAAAGATAAATTTGCTGTGGCAAGCACACACACACACACACACACAAACACGCACCACACACACACACATATTTACATAAACAGGCACATGCACACACACAAACACACTTACATACACAGGCTCTCACAGACAAATAGTTCAAACAGTCACCGAATGGATACATAAAACAATGTTATTCTCGAACGCCTGACACTGACTGAATGGCTCTTGACGGCAGTGACGCAAAAAATAGGACTGACCTTCAAACCACTCCTTGTGTTCACTTCTCGTCTCCTTCTCAAAATCATCACTACTCTCCTCCAGAAAAGAGAGAGAGTTGAGTATCTGGTATGCTTTTCCACCATCCAACACCCGTCTGTGAAACCTCTTAGTTATTTCCATTTTGAGATTTGACATGCTGAACTTTTCAAGGGCCTCATACAACTGGTCGCCCGCTGGGGATGATATGTTTTCATTTGAGTAACAGAAATAATACGTGCGGCATCGTGGTGAAATCAGGCTCTCGTTAAAATGATCAAATCAAAGATATCAGCATTTTTCCTACGGGTTGACAATTTTTATCAAATTTTTGTTTTTTGACATTCCCATGTGTATTTGACTAAAAAATGTTGACTGAAGGCACAAAATATGTAATTTTTCAGTTTTTAATGACTCTTTTAAAGCTATTGAAGTTACTGAACTTTGGCGCCATTTTCTCGCTACTTTTACCACTGAAAGCAAGCGGCCCAACCTCTTTCAATCGCAAATATCTCGACCTCTATTCAAAACAGAAGGATATTTTTTCATTGCAAGCAAGACGAAGGAATAAGCTTTTAGATGATACCAATAATTCCACATGCCCAAAAATTTGACGAGCGCCTGATTCCGCAATACAGTCAGGCACGGACAACTGTTGGGGATTGACAAAAGTGTTCGACACATCCATAATTAGGGTTAACCAATGAGGAAAAATTAAAGAGATATCAGTCAGGCAAATTGTACGAGTATACGTGAACTGATTCCGTGTTCGGGTTATCTGTTCCTGACTGTAGTAAGAGTAATAGTGATAATAATAATAGTAATAATAATACTGATAATAATAGTAATAATAATACTGATAATAATAATAATAATAACAACATCGAGGAGGAGGAGGAGGAGGAGGAGGAGGAGGAGGAGAACTTTAACATCCAAAGAGGTAGTATAGCAAGCAGCGTGTAATATGAGTGAGTGAGTGTGTGTGTGTGTGTGTGTGTGTGTGTGTGTGTGTGTGTGTGTGTGTGTGTGTGTGTGTGTGTGCGCGCGCATGCGTGTGTATGTGTGTATGTTTGTGCGTACATGTGTATGTGTGCAAGCATGCCCCAGCACAGCAAATTTCCTTACAAGGATCAATCAAAATGAAATCATATATACTTATCTATTTTGAAAAATAAATAATATGTCTTAGAGTCTAATGTCATACTTCTCATAAAAAAGTCTTTCTACCCTGCGGCAAATCATACTCAAAATTTTAAAAAAGCATACACTTTACTAGCAAAACTCAAATTTATAAAGATCTTGCCCATATCTGACAGGACTGAAGTTAGTTCACATATGGCCCATTCCATATATACCTGAGAGAACTTTTAAAAAACACCACGCAGTAAGAAAGGTGAGGGGTGCTTTGCTTAACGCAGTAATAAAACATGACCAAACCTGTCCAAGACGACTGTCAACTCATTTTTGAGGAGAAAAGTGGTCACCTTAGACAAATGGTCCTCTTGAACAGTGTTATCGTAACATGTGAGACATCATGATGAAATCAGGCGCTCGTCAAATAAATGAAATAGAAGAAACCGACATTTTTCCCACCCATTGAATGATTTTTTTGGGGGCTCAACTTTTGGTTTCATAAAAAAATAATTTTAAAATACATTTTACCGAAAAACAATCAAAGGTACAAAAAGTGTAAATTTGCAATTTCCAAGGACACTTAAAAGCTTTGAAAGTCACCAAACTTTGGTGACCATTTTCTCGCTAATTTTACCTCTGAAACCAGGCAACCTCTACCTCCAACAATCACAAATATCTCAACTTCTTATCCTTCAAGACAGATGGGTATTTTTTTTCAGCAATTTAAGCAAGACAAATGAACAAGCTTTTACACGATACCTATAGCACCATATGCCCAAAATTTGATGCCTGATTCCACTGTGTCGTGCCCCATAATAAATATATATACAGAGAGAGAAAAATGCATAATAGGAGGAAGTGGTTTCAGTTTGGTAAGAGCTTTAGGGTGCTCCCAACTGCATATATGTGAGCCCATGGGATTCAAGTTGTTGTTTTTACAGTAGTTCACGGCACAGCTTGAGGGAAGAGGGAAGTTGTCGTCTATACAGGTGGTAGTTAGAGCAGGCAGGTTTGCCTGTTCATCATGTATAATAATCAGAAAATGTTGTTCAGTACAAACGACAGGGAATGTTTGGTGGTGAAGAAAAATAGAAACATAAAACACACACAGATCAAATTCCACACACAAGAAAAAATATCTGAGAACAATAATAACATGAATCTCAAGAGCAAAGGTAATTGGGCAACCAAAGCAAAAGAACTAAATTAGCTTTCGTTACCAGTTTTCAAAAGGTATGAAAGTTGGAGATTCAGAGAGAGAGAGAGAGACTGTGAGAGGAAAATCCACTAGAGCTGATTAACTTTAGGGAAGGACAAACACACCCCCTCTCCAGTCCTCTCCTGCTCGTAAAAGGACCAACGCCGTATCGTCAGGGAGACTCCTCAAGGAGTCACTACAATCCACAATAGTGCCGTCATTCTCAAGAACAACTGTGACTTCCTCCCTTGCAGGAATCTAGGGCAAAAACCACAAAAGACATACAGTCTATCATGCACATAGTGAACATGCGCATGACAAACAAATTTTCAGGTTCCAAATTTTTTCTTACACATTGTTTTAAAACTTTAAAACACAAACATAGCAGCAAAATTCATACACCTAAAAAGATTTCCACATCCAGCCGATTTCGGTATGTGTGTGATAGACTTTACAAATTTTTAAATATATTGGGCAATTTCAAAAAGTTGAAAATCATAATTTCTAGTCAACATACTTCCCTGAAGACTCACACCACTTCAAAGTACTGCTGCTGGCTTAAGTGAGGAGAAAGTACGGCTAGCCTCTTCCATATAAATATTGCATTTGTACAGCGCTATATCCCCACTCAACAGCAAGCTCTATGAGCTTTACAATTAATAGTACTACCCTAGAATACTCTGAAACATACTCAGCTTCCCGTGCGTGAAGCATACACTACACGCAGTGCAAGCAGCTGAAGCGCTCACACTTTAACAAACTGACAAGAACTTCCGTCGTCTATAGGCGGGTACCCATTCCCACCTGGATGAAGTGAGAAAAAGAGAAGAAATCTGTGTAAAGTGCCTTTCCCATGGACACACCGTTGAGCACTCCTGTACAATTGCGGTCCCGTTTTGAGATCATTACTCGTTTTGACCCTACCAACGATTACTTCTGGTTCTAAATGATTACTTTTTGATGCGCGTGCCGATAGGCCTATGGAGGGATCATCAAATTATGGTCAAATTCAGGGGGGCATGACCCCTGAAACCCCCCATGTTTTTGTTAGGTGTGGTCAGGGGGGCAAGCCCCCTTTGCCTTACAAGTGAAATTTTACTGCTCGTCTTGTAGGCAAGATCTATTGATAAAACGTCGATACCTAACACTTCAATCAGTATCAATATCAAGTAGTCTTTGCATTGTGATTGTGATTTAGTGCTAGATCTACCGGGACCGCAATTGTACAGGAGTGCCCACCGTTGGGCCCCTGACGGGGTTCGAACCAATGACTTGTCAGTTGCAAGCCCAATAAAGTTTATTTGGACCTCATTTGTCACACCCAGGAATTCCACTTTTTGGCAAAGGCTCCAACATGATATAGATTTCTAGATCTAGATTCTAGATCTAATTATAAGGTACATTTTAGTGCCTTTCACTTTCACTTTCATTCATTAGTAACACCGCCCGCCGGTGAATAGCTTTCGATCTATTGACCAGCGCGGCGCCCGGCGCCTGAGAATAGCCACTTGCATTAAACATAGAGAAGTGGAAGACTGCCCGACTTAATAAAATCCCAGCCCTAGCAGCTTTCAAAATCAATGTCTCTTTTTACTTTCAGCTTCTCTATGCCTTTATTGATGACATCAGCAAGGTTTTTAGCAATAATTTTAATCCGACGAGAGCTGGACGAATCTTGAATTGTGAAAGGTTTCATCTCCTCAACTGCGGGGCTCAGCGTCGACAAAATGTGACTAAACAGTATGTTTTTTATTCACGTGGCTCATAACATCATAATACACTTCTTGAACAATCATAAAACGTTCTTGTCAAAAAGGTTCCAATCACTGATGTCTCTCGTCACTAGTGGCGGGCGGATTTGCTACTTGGTTTTGGGATTTGCTGGTACTTAGTGTGAGCAGAGACACTAAAATATAGAGACAGGAAACGATATTTTAGTGTCTCTGCCACCACTACTCGTCACCGTTTGTTTTTGAGAAATGCGAAGGGAAATTACTCCCACCTACTCATCGACTTGTACTTTTAGATCTCACGCTGTCATGGCAACTGCTCTCCCTTTACAGGGATATAACTGCGAACTGCGAAGTGTGTAGATCTATAGTAGGCCAGTCCATCACGCACAAAATGTAGCTAAACTAAAGATTCTCAACTAGTTCTCAGTTGACAAACTTTGGCAAAATACTTTTCTAAATGGTCGGGCATGTTTCACACTTTCTTCTTGCCTTTCATTGGGCTCAAAGCGTAAAAATTGAGGCACTCCATGGTGAACCTTAAATGTTTTGAGTAAGCGATCTGGAATACATGTACATTATGTATTATGATCACATGATACAAGTCTATGCATTAACCCACAGAATTCTGTGCATTAACCTGACTACTTTCCTCTTCTCCAAAACAGAGAAGATTTACTCGGCCACGGTGTAAGACTGAACCGAAAAAAAAATATTTAAAGTTTAAAGAAATTATTCAAAGTAGGGGCCTAGCCTAGATCTAATTGTCCTTTGTTTCCGCCGCACTAGGCCTACATCTCTTTGTATCTCGGGGTGAATGAAGAATAATTATTATTCTGTCGGAGTGAAAAGAAACTTATTCACTCCTCGTGCCTGGTGTACTTAGAGAAATCAGGCCCCCATCCTTGCTGGGTGTTTTGTGTATGCAAAAGACACTTCGTTAAACTTTACTCAGGCTACGTGATTATTCTAGTTCACAAAAATTTCACGATTCGCCAGCAGGACATGGCAGCTTTCTTTGTACCGTAACACGAGCGCACGATCCGTCAGGTCTAATACTTTTTCCGACTCACAAGCTCACGGCTTGCGTTACAATGATGATGGTCAAGTTTTCAGAGAATACAAACAAGCTCTGGTGAATTCCACAAAACATCTACATGGTAATTTGAGGAGAAGAAGAAGAAAGCAAAAGCTAATATTTTAGTTTGTTTGAAAAAGAATCTCCGAATAACATTCCACCTGAAAACATTGCTTCATGCGGTCCCTTTAATAGAATAATATAGCAGTCGTGGGATAATTTTTTCTTCTTAAAAAAACAAAACAAATGGGGTATTTTTTTCGGGGG